CCTCTTCGTCAACAGTTCTGTTTTTGGAACATATTCACTCCCCGAATCTTGAAAGGGCACACTTTTACTTTCCGACGACATTATATTGTATTGCATGAAACAAAGATCAAACTAATCACACCACACACGATGAAAGACGCAGGAAGGCTTGCCGCTAATAACCTCACTTTGACATCTCCCACTACACGCGCACATTTCGGTGCTAAAATCAGGTAACTCCCGGAGTTGCCCGACTCTAGCACTATCATGGCTTACATTTTGGTGCTAAAATTCGGTAACTCCTGGAGTTGCCCGACTCTTGCACCTCAATGGCTCATCAGGTGAATCCTTTCCCGTGTGAACTTGATAGGAAATTGTTGGATTCGCTTGACTCTTGCACCAAAAGATGCGCAAGAAAGAATTCTATATGTTGAAAACAATAACCCAATTTCGGCATAAAATGGAGTTGCCCGGTTCTTGCACGGAGGTCTGTATTAAGGTTTACTGTTTTTCCTGATCCCGCTTTTTCACACAAAAAATCAATGTTTGTAGGTTACCATATGATATGTTTACTCATTTTATGGAGTTACACAAGGTGAAGAAGAAGAAAATGCTCTAGATGATTATTAATTCCGTGTAAATCTACTGCTTGAAATAGCAAATCTTGCTACTGTCTACATAGTCGTATGATTTTTTTTATTCGCAGCCAATCAACCAAACATTGGCTGTACACGCTATCCCCTAACCGAATTATAGTATCCATACAATTAAGATGCAACAAACAATTTTTATGAGTGACCCTGTATAATAGTCACCTCAGATCACCCAATATTGAAATTGAATGATATTTATTTAGTCTGCAAGCTTTTGCGTGTGACTGAGTTTATTCAAAGAATTATATAATAGTTATTTAACCAACTAGTATATTAATGAGGGCGATTAATGATCGAGATATTTTAACGTGCGAGCGAAGCGAGTGCGTTAATGTTCGAGATCATTATTCGCCTTTTAATATACAAGTTGGTTACAAAATTTTTCCGTCGACTATATTTCTCATTTCTCCTGCAATGAAGAAAACTTGGTTCGCGAATTCATCATCCATCCGGAAACTGCTAAGAATCACCCAGTAGCCTTGTTACTGACATCAGTGTCATTTGACATTTGTCGAAATGATCAACATAGGAAATAAATTCCTTGTGTTAGAAAACAGGGAATAAAATCGTGTCAGAAACTTGGAAAGGCGAACCCGTTAACGGAAAATCGTCGATGAAATCCATATTTTCGATTTAAATGCAGATTCCGCTAGTTATAGCATAAACAATGAATGCACGCGGTGTACGTTTGGTTGCCTATAAAACAATGGTGCATTAATAGACAAATCGTCCATTAATAGGGGTCATTAATGAACGATTTCATATACATTAAACTTAGTCGTTAATACGAGGTCGACGGAAAAAATCATTATTGGCGACTATAGTACCAACCTAACTAGAAAACGAATATTCCTGTATACGGAGTCTGAGAACTTTTATTTACAACTCGTGTCGACAATATAAGGATTATATTTGTTATCCTTGACTCTTTGTAATAAAGTAATCGCCACATAACTGATTTTCTAAAGGTAAGTAACAACCCTGTCTCCGCATGTTTAACCCCCTGTATTTAAAAAACTGTCCATTAGATCTCATTGTGCCCATGGAGACATTTGATCAGGACAGCCTGAACTACATTTTACCGAATTTTGAGCCAATTCGACTGGGACCTATTTTCCATAAGAACCTTTACCAAACAAAATTTTCAACTATTTATATCAATGAATATCTTCCTCAAGTTACAGCCTGGGAACCCACCACTTAGTTGAATTGAACGCTACTGTGATGTGATCATCCTGTAGAGTTGACGGCTGCTGACAGGACGGTGACAGGGACAGTTTTTAAATGGTTTCGAATAATATAATGATACCATGTATTAGTATTATTATAGTGGTTTGATATAGTTTATAGGTATTTTATATTGAATAATATAATGATAGACATTTACTATTCGAAACCATTTAATAACTGTCTCTGTCACCGTCCTGTCAGCAGCCGTCAACTCTACAGGATGATCACATCACATCTAGAAAAGAGAATTGCTGCAGGAGAAAAATGAGTTCACTTGGAACAAAGCACATGAATATTGCTTTGAGAATTTGAAAAAAGATATTACAAATGCTCCCGTTTTGGCAAATTATAAAACAAATTGCCCTACTAGAATAAGTGCAGATTCTAGTTCCTACGGAATTGGGGGTGTTCTAGAACAATTACAACATGACAATTTGTGGAGACCAGTGTATTTCTGTTCAAAGACACTGAGTGAGGCTGAAAAACGTTACTCACAAATCGAGAAAGAAGCTCTTGCTTCAACATGGGTGGTAGAAAGATTGGAACAGTTTCTCTTAGGCCAAGAATTTGTGTTGAGAACAGACCACAAGCCTCTTCTGAGAATCTTAACGGATAAACCAATTGATCAATTGACAGTAAGGTTACAGCGCTTTCGAATGCGCCTCATGAAGTTTGATTACAAAGTAGAATTTGTACCTGGAAAAGAATTTTTCTGTCCTGATGCACTATCTCGCTCTCCCTTGAGTCAAGGACAGGACGATGCAGATGTAGTAAATAAAAATAGAACCAGTGTGGTAGATTCTCTATTACGTAATACTTCAAATCTATCCAACTTCAACTACAAAGAGATTGAAGAAGCACAAAATCTGGACCCTACACTGTGCAAAGTCAAATCATATGTTATCAATGGATGGCCTACTAAACAGCAGTGTCCTCCAGAGTGTTCGCCATATTCCACTTTCAAAGACGAACTATCAATTCAAAATGATGTGTTGACTTATAAAGATAGACTTGTAATTCCGGAACAGTGGCGTAAAATGGTAATCAGAGACATTCACGCAGGACATTTTGGACTATTACGCTGTCAATTGCGGGCTAAAGATACAGTATGGTGGCCAAACATCAAAAACCATATTGAAACAAAGATAAAAAAATGTGTAACTTGTTTGAAACATTCCAAACCACCGACTGAACCAATGATGACACTAGAGACGCCTTCACTTCCTTGGAAAACTATTGGAACTGATCTTATGGAACTGAATGGAAAAACTTTCTTAGTAATTCAAGATTACTACAGTCGTTGGCCTGAACTGTTTGAATTAAATAATATTAGGACAAAAACAGTGATTCAGTGCTTGAAGGAGACATTTTCCAGGTATGGAATACCTAAATGTGTGAGATCTGATAATGCCAGACAATTTGACAACTTAGAATTCAGACAATTTTCGAAGGATTACAAGTTCAAATGGACTACCAGCAGCCCACGCTTTCCTCAGGCAAATGGCCAAGCAGAAAGTGCTGTCAAACTTTTGAAGAGAATCCTGAAGAAAAGTGAAGACCCTTATCTAGGTTTATTAGCCTACCGAAATACACCTTTAACTTGTGGAGCCTCTCCAGCACAATTGTTGATGGGAAGACAACTGAGAGAAAACTTACCTGTGCATAATGAAAAGTTGAAGCCAAAACTTCCTGATCATGAAACAATTATAGAGAATATGATGAAAGAAAAACAATCACAAAAGAAATATTTTGATAAAAGACATCGTACAAGGGATTTGGAAGAGCTTGAAACTGGAAACAGAGTATGGATCATCACAGAAAAGAAAGAGGGAATAATCACCAGAAAATGTAAAGAACCAAGATCATATGAAGTGGAGACGGAAAACGGAACAACTTTGAGAAGAAACAGAATACATCTTCAGCCATTTCCATCACAAGAAACCTGTGACGAAGTCGATAAGGAAAATTTACATAGGGAGGAGAAAGAAGGCGGAGAAGAAATGTTAGAGCAGGAAAAGGCAAAGGAAGAAAATAGAAGACCAAAAAGAAAACATAAACTACCCATAAGTCTGAAGGATTTTGTCTTGCAATGAACTGTTCAAGTAAAATGTTTTAGTTTATAGTTTAATATCTTTCATATATTCATAGAGAAAAGAAGATGTGATGTGATCATCCTGTAGAGTTGACGGCTGCTGACAGGACGGTGACAGGGACAGTTATTAAATGGTTTCGAATAGTAAATGTCTATCATTATATTATTCAATATAAAATACCTATAAACTATATCAAACCACTATAATAATACTAATACAGCTACCAAAACACATTTTCATTTATCAATGACTAGTGCTATCAATTTCCGAAAGTCTACTATATCTATGTTCGGTATTTCCATCGGCAAGACTATTGCATGGGAAAATGATGTCAGATCCATCGCAAAAGCTACTTCACACCTCAATAGCTCCTCATGATCTGAAAAGCACAAGACGGTCAACATCGTAGAAAAGTCGGTGACCTTTGATTTTTCTATAGATACACGGAAAATATTTATCAGCAATACCTGCTATAATTCCATCACTAGCAATAGCAGTCAGCAAATCCTTTCGTCTTCAACCTCGACATATTTCGAACAACTCTTTCCCAAAACTGATTTGTTCATAGAACAGCAAAACTTTTGGAATTCTTTGACAATAAAAGTATTCCCAAGAAATTATAATATCCAAAAGTTGAAAAGAATTCAATACCTACTTCTCTCCCTATCCTCCCTAAGTACGCACAAAGTTCCTCGAACATTATAGGGATTCCCTTTTGTGCGCTCAAAGAGATTGAAAAAACATTAATCAAACTAATTCAATTAAATAATCAGTTCCAATTCTGAAAACCATCAAATATGTTGGTACTTACATGGCAATGGCAGTAATAACATAAAAGTATTCCCAAGAAATTATAATATCCAAAAGTTAGAAAGAATTCAATACCTACTTCTCTCCCTATCCTCCCTAGGTACGCACAAAGTTCCTCGAACATTATAGGGATTCCCTTTTGTGCGCTCCAAGAGATTAAAAAAACATTTATCAAACTAATTCAATTAAATAATCAGTTCCAATTCTGAATACCATCAAATATGTTGGTACTTACATGGCAATGGCAGTAATAACAACCTTTCCAGATCTGCCCATCAATCCTGATTCTTCTTCAAGAACATCTGTTGCTTTACCCATTTCTCTTCTATAATCTCGGAGTCTTCTTTTAACGGTAAATATATCTACAAGATGAACCATTTCAGAATAACGTCATAGACGGATGTAGCGGCAAAAACCACAGTATTCATTAATTTGCTATTTAGAATGGAATCCATGTAAGATTTCCCATAACTCATCCTGATGTTTTTCTATCCCTATCTGTACCTAACAGCTTTCTTGATAAAAATTATTTCGTAAAATTTCTGTGCAAAAACCAACCCATGAAAAATGACGATATTTCACAATGCAATTTAACAGAACATTGCAATTCAGATCATAGCTGCATGAAACCATCAATTATTCTACCGATGAACTAGATCTCAATTTCAGCATTTCAGCATACAGGGAGGTTCAGAAATGACTTCCTTTCGGGGACTCATAAAAATTTCTTATATTCAGTTTTTTTAATGGAACACCCAGTATGTTATTACTCATTTTGAAACTTGCGACATTTTACCATTCAACTGAGTATAAGTTTCCTATACTTACCTCGTACAGTTTGCTAGTCATGATCATTTCTGTTACGAAATCGTCTTCAATAAAATTATGATTGGATAGTAAATAGATAGTAGGCTATGAATATCATTCTGATAGAGAACTGATATGGAATTCCTTTATTGTCATCCTGTGAATTCATGTTCCAGGTCAGTTCTCTGTCAAAATAAAATTCATAGCCTACTACCTAGTCGCTATCCAGTAATAGTTTTATTGAAGACGATTTCATGACATAAACATAAATTCATTACTCTATTACTATTCCTAAATATCTCTGAGCTTTCATATGCATCTAATTTTCTAACATTATTACCTTGCTCAACTAATTTGAGGTTATTAATATGTGTCAAAAATTAGATGCATATGAGAGCTTAGAGATATTTAGGAATAGTAATAGATTAATGAATAAGGATGATAGACCTATCCCATTCAATCCTCTGCATAGTTTAGTAATATAACATGTGAACTCAACCATGAATAACATTAACTTGGCGGTTATTGTCTATTCACAGTTGGGTGAAGATATTCTTAGTATATAAGTAGACCACTAGGATACAGCATTCATTTTTAATGTTTTCCTGAAGATGCTAACATAGTTAGCGAAACACGTGTCGAGGTGTAAAAAATCGGTTTGGTTAGTTGTAAAACAGTGTGTAGTTTATTATCGTGCCAAAGGTTCCAGTCTTCGATATTCAGGGTGTCCCATAATCAGGGTGCCAGCAGATTAAACGATCAAAATTAAGAAAATAAGTTCCTGTAAACATAGGTCGAACAATGTTTCATAAGCGAGCTACAACCCCCTGAAAGTGGTACCCCGAAGATGGTTTTTATTTAATATCTTCGAAGCTGTTGATAGGGGAATTATAAAATTTTGCAAGTCGGCCAATCTTTTTATGCCTTCCAAAATCTATCTATAAATGGGCCAAACTGTGGGGGGTGGGGGGTAAAATCACCCCAAATTTTTCAAGTGCCCTTTTTTCGCATGAAATTATGAAACTTAGAAGCCTTTTGCATAAAAAAGTTCCTCTTGTTCAACTTCGATAAGAAGCACCGTTCTCGAGTAAAATCGATTTGAAAATCACTTCAAATGTGAAAAAATTCATAATTAAATTAGAAAAATCCAGAATTTGAGCGTACGCTATGGAACATGAGCACAATGTTTGGGAAAAAACTATCGGGACAGGTGACAGATACGTGACAGGAGGTTTGAAAGTTGTGTTCAAAGCTAATTAAGAAGGTTTATTGAGTACTTTTTTGTAAAGTTGGAACGTTCCACAAATCGAGAGCTAGCAGACATGCACTTCCAACAAAAACGTGTTGGAGAATAATTTTCGTTTTAACAAATAAATCTGAAAGGTCACAGAATATTGTAATTAAATTAAGGGATAGGACTACTGATGATCCTTTGGAGGTAGCAAAACTTTTCAATACATTTTTCATTGATGCTCCAAACAATTTAGTTTCGCAAATTGACAGATCCAACATGGAACAAGCAGCGACAAATAATGATTTTAATGAACATTATCTCTTTCTAAATCCATTTACGGAGAAGGAATTATACTTTTGATTACAAAAATTAAAAATTAATATTTGTCGAGACCAGATGAAGTGCCACCTTTCATAATCAAAAAAGTTATGGAATCATTAATTGAACCTCTTACTTTCATGGTAAATCTATCATTCAAAACCAAATGAAATAAAAAGGGGAAAAGTTTCTCCTATATATAAGGATTCGAAACTTCTGGAAAACTATAGACCAGTCACAGTACCCTGTAGTTTTCAAAAAGTGTTTGAATATTCTTTTCTAGATCGACTTATGAATTTCATTGAGAAATTCAAAATACTAAGTAAAAATCAGCATGGTTTTAGGAAGTCAAGGCCAATTACCTCAGCTTTGATTTCATTTTACAACAGAATGGTGGAATGTATTGAAGAGGGAGAGTGTCCTGTCACAATCTTCTGTGACCTTGATTGCGTAAATCATTCATGATTATTATCGAAATTAGAAATATTTGGAATTCGAGGCGTTGCAAATAGCTGGATATCATCATTCATTCAAGATCGTTCCCAGTATGTCACTATAGCACATAAAATTAATAATGTATCTAAGGTCTACAATTCACAAGTAGAATGTACTGAAATGGGTGTCCCCCAAGGCTCAATATTGGGACCTATACTTTTCATCTTATATGTTAATGATATTGATTCGATTGTTCATTCAGGCAATTACATGGCATATGCAGACGATTTCTCTCTAACAATATCTGCTGCTACAATATTTGAAATTGAATGCATTGGTACTGAGGAAATCAAAGGAGTCACCAATTATTTTAGTGAGAATGATCTTTTTTTAAATCTGAATAAAACAATTTTATGTAGATTTCATAACAGACAAAATGCTTGTGAAACAGTTAATATATGTGCCAGTGGTGATCAATTAACCAGTACACATGAGAATTTGTAATTTCTTGGTTTTTATATTGGTGAGCATCTAGATTGGAAAGAACAATGCAGACACATTGTTTCTGAACTTCACTCGATGACATATCTATTTAGAAATATAAGGAATATACTTAATAAAAGTCAATTCATCACACTCTATTATGCGTATGTTGATTCTCAATTGAGGTATGGAATATTATTGTGGGAAATCTCTACAAACGTTACCGATGTTTTAATAGCACAAAAAAAAGATCATCCGTTGCATAGCACGAGTACCTTACTATCGTTCATGCAAAAATGATTTTCGGAGTTAGGTATTTTAACATTGCCATCTCTATACATTTTTGAGGCATGCTTATACGTCTTCCAAAATAAAAACTCATTCACTCTTAATGATGGGATTCACGATCACAATACAAGAAATAAAAAAGATGTACATTTTGAATCAGTGAAATTAATGTTAAATTATCAATCTCCAAAATGTATGGGCCCTAGATTATTCAATAAGCTTCCATCCAACATCAAATCTAGTAATAATAGTCATGTATTCAAAATATTATTGAAACAAATTCTATTAAAAAAATGTTATTATTCGGTATTTGATTATCTCAATGAAAAGATCTGATTTTCATTTAACTCGAACCGCACCTGCATTCTTTTACTATTCTTTTACTATATTTTACTAAAAAATGTAAATGAAGGAAATTCAAAACTCTTCTAAGGAATGTTGTTATTGATGCATTTTATCAATTGTATACCTCTATTGTATATTGTATACCTCTATCGCATACCTCTATTGTATACCTTTATTGTATGTTAGTTTTAGTGTTTTATGGTATAGTGTATATATATGTGACGACTTTCAAAGCTATTTACAATTGTCAATTAAGAAAGAATAAAGATAAACTAAATTAAACTTTGTGTATGGCTTCTGTAATGGCCTTGCTCTGGCGGCTGAGCATGAATACCGACGACGATTTCCAAACCGAGGAGCTCCCACACGGCAAATTTTCACCCGTATACATCAACGTTTGACAGAAAATTTCAACTTCAGACGTTTACGCGGACAAGGTAGGCACCAAGAAAATCACGCAGTTGAAAATGTCTTGAACCATTTCGAAGATGACCCTCAAATAAGCATCAGAACGGTATCCAGATTAATGCAAATACCGCGGGCAACAGTAATTAATGTTAATGTTGGTATTTATGAAATTGAAATAAAACGTGACATTTTTTAGATAAGAAGAATGGTTCGGATGCAGGGAATTCACCCATATCATTATCGACGAGTGCATGACTTGCATGACATGAACCGTGTCACTTTTTGCCAAGAGTACCGGGTGATTCAATAAGGGTGACGAGGTACTGTATCTCAGGAACTAATAGTCGTAGAAGTTCGGGAAAAAAATTCTTTCGAGGAAATCGACCAAGAAAAACTGCTGGAAATATTTTTGAATCCATACGTCCACCGCTAGGGGGCGTGATAGCTTCGATCGTATGAAAAATGTAATTTTTTCGAATTTTTTCCAATATAAGTTTAGAAATGAATACTCTCACGTCAATGTCATCCTGATGGTCCATCTTTTTGTTGAAAAGATTTTCATTGTAGGACGTAAAATGAAGGCGGAAGGGAATGCTAAACTTTTTGGACTCTAAATGTCTATAACTTTAGTTTGACGTATCGGAAATTTGCTAACAAGGTTTTGTTCGTGAAAGGAAGGCTTGGTGAACAAATTAAAAAACCATCTATGCCATTCTGGTTATCATCGCGCTGGTTAGGGGGCGTGTTTTATAAATTTAACCGTTTTTTCAATTTTGCTCCGAAATCTTAAATGGAACCGTATGATTTTTTTATTAGATTCCGAAAGTAGATAAAATTTGCAACACAACATGTCCAAACCACATGGCGATATCTCCATTTGTTTAAAAGTTATGGCTCAAAGAATAGTTCATTGACGAATTTATTGATGAAACAAAATATTTTATTGAGTTATAGCGGCATGTTGAAGACATTCAAAATAGACTGCTAACATATCAAAAGCTTCCTCGTTCGTATACGGCATTTTTTGAACTTTAAATTAGGTTC